TTGCGACTCAATTATTAATTTATGTTTTTCAAGATGAAGACGAATTTTATTTGCTATTATAGATTCGAGTAACTTTCCCACAATAGACGTTAGGCTAATTGGTCGATAGTTAGACGCAAGTGATCTATCTCCTTTCTTAAAAACTGGTATCACATTAGCAACTTTCCAAAACTCCGGCACTCTGCCTGACTCTATTGATTTATTAAATATGGTTGACAGTGGGTCACAAAGCTCCTCTTTGCATTCTTTAAGCACCCTGGCAAACACTTCATCCGGCCCTGGGGATTTGTTTGGTTTGAGTTTTACTATTTGTTTAAGAACATCCTCCCTGGTAACTGTTAAACTCGTCAACCTGTCCTCGTCCCCACCCACATAGACTTGTTCGGCTGAAGGCATATTGTTAAGTTCCTCTTTAGTAAATACAGATACAAAATATTTATTAAAAATACTACTCATCTCTTCATCACTATCTGTTATTTGACCTGTCTCAGTTTTTAATGGACCTATCCTTTCCCTAGTCTTAGTACGATATAACTGAAAAAACCCTTTAGGATTTGTCTTTGCTTGCCCTGCTATGCGAACTTCATAGTTTCTTTTTGCTTTCCTTATCTCTTTTTTAACATTTCTAACCAGTTGTACGAATTCCTGTTCTAAAGTGACCTCCCCATTTTTAATCCTTTTGTACCAAGCTCTCTTTTTACCTATAAGGTTCTTCAAATTCTTTGTTATCCACTTTGGGTCATTAGTATTCGATCTATTCAATTTGTATGGTATACTACGTTCCTGTGCTTTGTTTAGAATATTCTTAAATAAGTTATATATTGAATCCACATCGAAATCCCCATTTAAGTCACCTATCGCTGGGTTCATGTCTCGCTCCAAGACCGGCCCACACCCCATACCCAAGACTTTCCAATCAATTTGACCCAAAAAATTTCTTAGGCTATTAAAATCAGCTTTTCGAAAATCTGGCACTTTAACAGAATTTTCTCCTACTGGTCTATTCCATTCTATGCTAAATCTGATTTCTTTGTGATCACTGCTCCCTAGCTCACTCCCTATTTCGATGTCATTAATTTGCGTTTCCCTGTTAGTTAACACTAAATCTAAAATATTATTTTCCCGTGTTGGTTCCTTAATGTGTTGCGTAAGAAAGCAATCGTCAATTAATTCTAGAAAATCTTCTGCTTCACTATTCCCTGTTTTGTTCAACCAGTTTATTCCGCTAAAATTAAAGTCACCCATGACATAAATACTGTTAGATCTAGATGCTCTAGATATTTCATCCCATAGATGCTTTGCTTCCATTCTGTCTAAATTTGGTGGCCTATATATTACTCCTATTATAATATTATTAGCTTTTTCGTTTAATTCAATCCAAATAGTTTCTGTGTGTGGCTCTGTTTTGATTCCCTCTTTGAGACTACATTTCAAATTGTCCCTAACATATATATCCCTAACATACATGTCCCTAACTTTGAAATATCTTTGCCCTGAAACAAAATATCATCGCCATATATGATCGGAGTTATCCCATTTGAGTATCTCTCAGATGCTATCTTATTCATTAGTACATTAAACAGGGTGGGACTCAACACTCCTCCCTGAGGTGTGCCGAGTTCAAAAGACCTCACACCTGACATACAACCTTGATACCACACCTGAGCCTTCCTTTCGTAAAGATAATCCCCATATCCAGCGCAATAATCTCCCTTTAACACCAAGACCAGCTAATTCATATAAAATAACCTCTTTGTTGGCTTTATCAAAAGCTCCTTGTAAATCAATAAAAATTCTATAAGAATCATTTTCATTAGCTAGACATTTAATAATACAATCAGAGGTACTTTTTCCTTTGAGGAACCCGAACAAATTACTAGACAGCTGATCACCTATTATATATAAAAGTCTATTTAAAATGATCATCTCCATCATTTTACAAAAACACGAGGTTAAAGACACTGGTCTGTACTCTCCATTGGCTTTAGGGATAGGGATGATCATAGCTTTTTTCCATTTACTGGGAATACTGCCCTCTTTATAACTAATATTAAAGAGGTCTAAAAGTGGGCTTTTCGTCATAATGGCAAGTTCATTAAGTATTTCATAAGTTACTCCATCCTCCCCAGGGGCGGTAGAGTTCCCAACTTTAATCGCCGTTATTAGTTCTTCTCTGGTAATACCTGTGCAAGTGACATCACCACTGTTACCTGCTGTAAATATAAAATCCTTTCTTAGATCTTTCCAAGAATCTAATGACTCTCTCGTTACAGCGGGTAATGAACTAAGTTTGGCAGCTTCCGCCCATTTATTTACGAGACCATTTGCAATTCCTTGCGGGTCAGGATATGCAACAAAATCATGCTTTTTACCCCTTATTTTATTTACGTCTTGCCAGATTTCCTTCAAGTTTCTGTTACTCCCAACTTTCTCTGCAAACTCCTGCCAATACTTGCTCCTAATTTCCTTTCTCTTCTCCCCACACAGCCTAGCAACTACCAGTAAAGCATTCTTCCCTTCCTCAGTCCGACCATTCCTATTCCAATTCCTGTGAGCTCTCCTCATTGTTAATGTCCACCCCTTAAGCATCTTGTCATGTGTATAATTTTCTTTTCTGGGGGGATGCTTTTTTATACTAGATGTTTTCCGGTTCAATGTTGCATTGTCCACTTCCTGTCTTTGTCGAGGCCACTAGTGTCAGTGGCTCTCGGGTAAATTCAGGTAAAACGTTGGGATCAAGTTCAAGTATGTTTATTGAGATAAGAAAGAAATACATCTTAAAGGGATAGAGTAGCTTAGGCTATTTCTACCCCCCCTAAAAAAACATTGGGAAACACAATAAACATTCGGAATTTTCGTTTAATTTTCTTAGTTGAGTCAGCAGAACTACTCGCAGAGTTTGTTAGCAGAAAAACTCTGCGAGTAGTTCTGCTGACAGAGTTTACATTTAGTCAAATCTACATCAGCAGATGTTATAAATTCCCAGAGGTACTTGTAGCCGAGCCTAAGCCTAGCAGTGGTAACATTTAGCAGACTTCTAGATGTTACCACTGCTAGGCTTAGGTTCGGCTACAAGTACCTCTGGAATTTGTAACATCTGCTAATGTAGATTTGATTAAATGCAAATTCTGTCAGCAGAACTACTCGCATACTTTGCGTCATTATATAATGGAATGTGAAAAAATTTAGAGATAACACCATCAATAGCATCCAAGAAATGTGTAAGTACTTCATTCATAATGATGTGCTGCCCGCTTAGCGAAGTATCCAAAATTTGCTTACTGTAGGTAATGCATGCACATGACTGTAAAGCTGCCGCCCAGTTGGGTGAGTGACACACTAGTAACTGTGTGACTCACCATAGATGTAAAGTGCCTTGTATAGTGACTGTTGTGAGCCTCTTGTTGATCACTTGTGACACAAAAGATTATTGATGTGTGTATTTTGTGGGTGGGTGTATGTGTATTAGTATATATATATATATATATATATATATATATATATATATATATATATATATATATATATATATATATATATATATGTATATATATATATATATATATATATATATATATATATATATATATATATATATATATATATATATATATATATATATATATATATATATATATATATATATATATATATATATATATATATATATATATATATATATATATATATATATATATATATATATATATATATATATATATATATGTATGTATGTATGAGAGTGTGTACATGTAAATAAATAAATAAATAAATATAAATATGTTTATTCAGGTAAGGTACATACATACAAGTGATGTTACATTAATGGGGGCAAGTATGTATATATATAACATTAATAATTTTGTAACTAGCATCAAAATTTGTTATTTACTTAGCTAAACGAACTAGAGGGTTCAGTTCCTGAACCGATTATGTGCCTCTAATCCTTTACACCATCGCCCACGGATGCGTATGGGGTGCATAATAAAGAAAGAAATTGAGAATTTGAATATTTACGCATAAACATAACGTGTATAAATATATTCTGGCTGGCTGTCCCCAACACAATAAATGATTATTATTAAATTATATACACGGGAAGGAAAAATATGTACACTGTAAGTATTTAGATGCTTATAGTGTTCAGACTGGTCGCTTGTATTTTGTTGCTCCTCTACCATTTTCTCTGGTCTCCACCGTGTTGTATGAGGGATTGAAGTCACCACGTGTATGATTAACCAACCCGTGAGATGGAAATTTGAGGTTAACTCGTATAGTTAGCTTTACATCTGTACTCTATAAACTTTCCTATAGCATAGGGTGGCAGAATTGCTGTGTTTGCCTGTTCTTGTTATTAAAATAAGAGGTACTTTGATCCTGGGAAGACTCGATGCATTTTTTTTAATAACATGCTTCGGTATATACAACAGTGTGCTGGTGTCCATATATATATATATATATATATATATATATATATATATATATATATATATAATATATATATATTATAAAATGTATGTATGTGTGTATATGTATGTATGGATGTATGTGTTGGGGGCAGGCTTCCTGCCCCAACAAAACGAATTATTAATTATTAATAATTTTGAATGATTTTATACATTTCTTAAACATTTGTTTTAGAAACAATACTTGGTCTCCATGCCGCAGTGGTGAAGCACTTGCCCAGCATGAGTGCTTTGGCCTGGGTTCGTATCCTGGCGGGGGAGGATTGACTGGGCGCCAATCCATAACAATAGCGTCTTTTCACCCAGCAGTGAATGGGTCCCTGGAGTTGTTAAACAATTTTGTAGAACATTCTGGCATATTCGACATTAATAGCTTACCAGCAAGTGTTTTTAGAGGGTTTTAGTCTTTCATTTAGCGATTTTTTCTCTAGAGTATCTATTAAAATTAAGTTTAAGTAATCTAGGATTCTAAGGAAATATGGGAAAAGTCTAGAAATTCCCCCCTAGGGAATTTTTGGGTTTGTAGTTGGTGGTGGCGGGCGGCCTGAAGACTGGCGGCGGTGGTCCCGGCACCTCTCTTCCTCACACTGCCTCCAGCGGCACGCTGCTCCTCTACACTTCTCACCACTCACTACCACACTACTCTGGTCTCGTCAGTGGCACTGGCAGCGGGTGTACGTACTCAGGTAAGGAGAGAGAGACCATGTGGGTAACCTCTGCAGCGCCTTGCTGTTCCTGCTTGACCCAACTCCTCGCACTATATTCCTCATTTAAGGAACCATGAGCACAACAATATTCGTCCAAATATGAAATATAGTGAAAAATGTTAAACAAATCTCCCGTTATTTGGCATCAGCGTCGTGAAACTATCATCCCAATATGTTAAGAAATGGATTTTATACGAATTTTTTAACAATAAATCCGTGCGCTGCTGGTACTGATGATAACACCTCATAGTTAGTGGAACTGGTATAATTAATGCAGTGATGAAGAGACACAAGCACCTGTCCAATGCACAAAAAAGAATGGTAGTAGTAAGGAGGGTCCACAAAGTGGATATGCCGCTGGTGCCTTCTAGCATTGTTGAGGGCCACCTGGAGGGCCAAATTTCACACTTAATAATGAGTATTTTGCTCTAGTTTAATATATCATATTTAAATAATATATTAATAGATCTAAAGATAGATATAGACATAATATCTATCCATCTATCTCATAAAGACGTTACCCAATGCCAGTACTGTATTTCGTATGTCACTTTGTACAAGCAGCTGTCGACTAATTTTAATTTTGGGGGCATTTTCTTTTTTACATTTCTCAGTTGATTTTGTTGTGGCTTCCACATCTTAGAGAATGCATACCCGTCACTAAGGACGTGAAGTTGGAACAAAATTGGTCAACATGTAATTTAGCCACAGGTGGCAGAACTTGATTTAATTTTTTTGGCCGAGTTATTTACAGATTTCAAACTATTTTCTTTGTTTCTTTAGGTTGTTTTGCTGAATGGCAACCAGATGAAGGGCTGTATCAATTATATAAAGTATACTTATGTACAGTATATCTATTCCTATATTTTTTTTTTTTTTTTGGCTGGGGGTAGGGGAGGTATTTTTTCTTGACTTCATTTCAATACATATTGACCTACAACTTTCACATATTCGAGTACCAATGCCAAACAATATTTATTAAAACTTACAAGGTATGTCATAAATTTGAGCTACTACATTCATTGTTGAGAACTTTAATTTAATTTTTCTACATGAGCAAAATTTTAAACTTTGAGACAACTTACAAATTTCAGTTTCTGAACGATTCTCACCATTTTTACATACTATGTGCAAAGTTCTTGGTTCTAAGGTGTCATTGCTGTCATTTATTCATAAACCTTTAACTTTGGGAGTTATAAATTTTTGCGTCTAAATTTTGCACATTATTTTGATGGCCACATTGAATATTTTTTTTTTACAGTAAACTATACTCTCAAAAAATATTTTACAGCCATGAAAATGAACGTTATATGCCATTCTGAGCCCATAATGAATAAAATAAAAATTAATGAAATTAAAATTTTTGTTAATTTGAAATTGTGAAATTATAAAAATTTTGAAATATTTTTTCCCCCGTTAATGTTATGATATTGATCCGGTAAGAAAACTTGGAGCATTTACCATGTTGAATATGCACAAAAAATTTGTGAGGAAGGTTACGAAATTGTGCACCTGGCTTGTTAACAGTATCTCACATGGTATTTACCTATGGGGCTCGCCACCTGCAAAGTACCTCATACAAATTAACGATTATCAATCAGATTATAGAGCGCCACAGCTTAAGTGGGTAAAGATAGTGAGCAAGCACTCGACACGTTGTCTTGTGCTGCCCACAGTGCCCAGCACACTATCATCACTCGCCCAAAACTGTTTCCAGAAGGATGTGCATCACCTAGTTGTGCTTGCTGGGGTTGAGCTTTGGCTCTTTTGTCCCACTTCTCGACTGTCAATCAACTGGTGTACAGATTCCTGAGCCTACTAGGCTCTATCATATCTACAGTTGAAACTGTGTACGGAGTCTGCCTCCACTACATCACTGCCTAATGCATTCCATTTGTTAACTACTGTGACACTGAAAAAGTTCTTTCTAACTTTCCTGTGGCTCATTTGAGTACTCGGTTTCCAACTGTGTTCCCTTGTTCGTGTTCCACCCATGTTAAACCGTTTATCTTTATCTACCCTGTCAATTCCTCTAAAAAGTTTGTAGGTAGTGATCATGTCTCGCCTAACTTCAGACTTCCAGTGTCGTGAGGTTTAGTTCCAGTAATCTTTCCTCTCAGCTCAGGGACTAGCCTGGTGGCATACCTCTGAACCTTTTCTAACTTCGTTGTGTGTTTCTAGATGTGGACTCCACGCTGGAGCTGCATATTCCAGTATTGGTATGTCATATGAGGTAGACAAGGTTCTGAATGATTCCTTACATAAGAACTGATTCATGGGTTCATTTACATGATCCCATGAACACAACAAATAAGTATCTCTCGACTCTAGGTCGGGAATACTGGGATCGAATCCCAAGAGGGACATAAATGGTTGGGCACGTTTTTATCACCAGAATTTGCATGGGTAGCCTCTAACACCAGTGGCCTCGATGAGGACAGGAAGCTGGCGGCTTGTCAAAGAAGTCAAAGGAAAAAAAATCTTGCGTTGTTGCTTGTTGAGTATGAAACCATTGCATCTTGTTTGTGTCACATCTGACCTTTTGAAGACATTTGGATCAACATCCTCCAAATTGTTTAATACCGTATTTTAAAAGTTTCGATGAGATCTACCCCTGTTATGTCTGGTTTGCGATGGTGTTAGGCCTGAGGCCCTCATCTGTTCCTGACACGAGAGTTGACTTAGTTTTGGAATGACTTTTGTTTACTTAGCAGTAAAAGTGTTCCAGGGGGTTAGTCAACTGTTATGGGGTTGCTTCCTGGGGGAGATAATAATGATGATATTGATAATGTTTATTCAGAAAAATGTGTATACAAAGAACATAAAAGTAATGTACAATTGCAGGGACAGGAGTTGCACATACTAATGAAGCCACTCTTATGCAAAGCAATTCGGAGGGTCAGTAGTTGGACCTTGGGGGATCTCGATACAATATTAACCTAATTTACAGGCAGCCTGTCCCTGACCATATGAATTATATACAATCATTCCTTACAAATTAATTAAGGTGCTTAATGTATGAAATTTCTGTATGAGTACCATATTTCCTGACCAATGTATCCCACCCTATTCAGACTGATTAAATAAATCCCATCTACTGTTACGTATGACAGTGTAATATACCTTGATTTAATCAAACCCCTATTCAAGGGCCACTGGTAGGGCCTGTGCTGCATTGGGTTGGCGATTGCAGCCAGTTGTCTCGCCTTCGCGTTGAGTGAGGACTGACAGTCTCCCGGGTAAGTCCTTGTGTTTTTCTTTGTCTTCGAGTAGTTAGCTCTGGGGAGCCGACGGGGCTCCCCCCAGAAAACCAGTGTTGAATGTAATGAAACGCCATTTTTTGGGCGAGTCCTGGAGGCTCCCCGGCATCCCTCCCTCCCTCCCGTCGGCGGTGTTTTCGCATGTTTTTGACATCCAGCCTAAGAACTGCCGGTTGGATTGCCGGCACGAGGGTCTGGGGCTTCCTCTTTCCTTCTCCCGGGGTGGGGGTGGGTGGGTGGGTTGCACAAGTTTGTTTTGGGGCGCCTACCTTTCTGGATGCCAGACCCGGTCGATGGCAGACATAGAATGCTCCCAATCACACGGGGGTTTCTATTGGCCATTGCTCCTCGTGTCTCTCTGATGGGGCCAGGTTGTGGCCATGGTCCCTGGTAGCCAAGAACTCTATGCACTTTGATGAAAGAATGCTAATAAGTCCATATCAGACTGGATAGCTCCAGGAAGCCTCCGGGTCTCATCCAGAAAATGGCTTTTCATTACATTCAACTCTGGTTTTATGACTACTTTTTTAAGTATCATTATGAACCATTAAGCAATTCATCCTATTATTCATCCTATCCTCGCATATTTTTTTGAAGTTTTAACTGCATGCATTGAATAATGTATGTTCTGTTTTCTTTGTAATTTTTAATGTAAGAGCAGCTTACAATTTTTGAACGTGTGTTCTATTAACTGCATTTGCTATTTTAGTCACATTTGGTCGTTATTGTGATGCTGTTATGACAGAAATGATGTGTACTCCTGTTAATTATGCTTGGGAATAATGGACACTTTCTTTTCCTTCAAATAGGAGATATGTCTGATGACCAAAGCCTACAGCAGGTCCTGGCCATGTCCCTGGAGGCAGAGACAATGAGACAGACTGGTGGTGGCAACACTGGCAGCTTTGTTGGAAGTGCCATAGTTGGCAGTGGTTCAGCTGGCAATGCTGGCAAGGGAATGGGTTCACACAACAGCTCTTCATCTACAGAAATCCCTGATATCACTTTGATGACTGAGGAAGAACAGATAAAATATGCTATGCAAATGTCTTTGGAGGAGTATGGTAAGTTCACACTGCTGTTCCTGCTTGCAATGCTGCTGGTGTTTATTTTATTTCCTCTTCTTGTCCTCTCCAATACTTTGGTGAAACTGGCCATACACTGAATGGCAAAATAAAAGAACACACATGAAGTATTAAGTCTGCAGACACTTAATAAATCAGGAGGAGATTTACCAGTGGTAGCATGAATAGTTTTCCTTTGATTATACACAAATCTATGAAGTTTTGTGTTATTAGACCCTTCTGTAAACTGCTGAAACCCCTTCTTTTAAGGATCGTACTGCTCTCTTAGCCAGGCCATTTGAAGGAGGACTGTACGGAGCAGGTGTTATACCATTCTTCTTGAAATTTTCCTCCATTTCTCAAACAAAATATGGAGCATTAGCTGGAGCTTGGGGTTTTGGGAAATTTTCAAAACAAATACAGTATTAAAATTCTTAGTTACTTAGCAATATCCAGGACCTAGATTCATGAAGCATCTTGTATTTCTTAACACTTTCACATTTCGGGCGTGCGCACGCCAGACTACCCAAAGGTGGCCTGGGTGTTTCCCGCGAGAGCGCGGCAACACTGAAATGTATACTGTTTTTCAGGTTTATCACCTCAAATATCGTTGTACATCGTTCATTTTGGTGTCAAAATGTTCGCAATAGAATTCCCTACAGGAGTGTATGCAGACAAGGTCCAAAAGCCCGTGTGCTACCCGCACCAAACCCAGAAATCGGCCAAGCATTGCCCGTCAGCGCACAAGAGCAATAAAATGTGTATTCACTTTTCACACCTCAGTTCTTGTGCTATGTCTTTCATTTTGCTATCAATTTGCTCGCAATAGAATTTCCTACAGGGATATATGCGTATGAGGTCCAAAAGCCCGGCACGCCTCACCCATAGCAAAGCCAAAAGTTGGCCAAACGTTACCCCGTGAGCTCCTTGATTTAAGTGAACTGTTTTGTAGCCTAGTCAGTAACATGTGAAACATTCTTAAGACTGTGTCGCACTCCTAGATGGTGCCCTTTGGTTGCTCTTGTTAAGGACCGTCCAAATATGGCTCGAGAATAGAACAGTATCCCATTAATTCCGCCACTCTGTACACTGGCACGGAAAATGAGGACAATAAAAACGTGAGCTGAACTAAACTCCAGTGTATTTACAGGTCATAACATACAAAAACAGTCACACACAATCATACACCCAAGATACCACCACGTGACCTGTCCAGGCTTGGGAACAAAGTCCAGTACACCCTTCTAACACAGTAAATACAGACAGCCACATGCTTTGCGAACTTAAGTTACAGTATCTGAATGTTCCAGTTTCATGATCGGGGTTGGGGGTTTCACACTTCCCGAACTCAAGTTCAGTAAGCGCAAGGTTCGCATAAATAGTTCAAGAAATGTGTAAGCATCCGCCAGGCTTTGCGCCGGCCCGGGGTGGTGGGTGGGAGATGGCCTAGTTTGCCCACTGACGGTGTCAGGTACCACTCTGTACTGTGACGTCATAGATTCGACGCTCATTGTTTCCATTGTTTTGATTTGTCACGAGACTGGAGTGTTCATTCCGTATCTGTTGGATATACATATCTGCACAATCGAGGAACATCTGTGTACCATGTCAGCTCCAAATGCACGCTCTGTGTCAGTGAAAGCACCAACAAGCTGGATGGATACGTAAAAGAAAGAGGTCAGTGATGACATTTGAGAAGAAAGTTAAAATTATTAATTAAGAAGGTGGAGAGCGGTGTCCTGAGAAGTGTCATGTGCGCTGAATATGGCATTAGCAAAATTACTGTTTTTGATCTTCTTAACCCTTAGACCGCACAATACATACATATATGATTTGACAATAATTTTGTCATAATAACATAATTTAACATAAGTTTTTAAAACTTGCGCAAACACCTTCCAATTTTTTTTGCATAATCAGCTAGGCAAATGCTCCAACTTTGTCTAAATGATCACAGCGTAACTTGAAAAACAAGTGAATCAAAATTAATTTTAAAATTGAATACAGTATTGAAAATTCAGACTTTCAATTCAGAATAAAAAATATGAATTATCACATTGTTCATTTATTTAATATTCTCTCAGAATAGCATATGATCTTCATTTTCATCCAATTAGAATATAGGTTTTCAGTACAGTTTACTGTAAAAAAAAACCCGGCAATTGGGCATTTGAAATATGCCGCAAATTTAAACCAAAAAAATTATAACTCCAAATGTGTAAAGTTTATGAAAAATCCATTCTGAAGGGATTGTAGAACAGATAGCTGAACACACAATATGTCAAAATAGTGAGAATTGGTCAAAAACTGGAATTTTAGAAGCCACTCAAAGTTGAAACTCTAGTTTCAGAGATAATTGAAGTTGAAGTTATCAACAATGAATAAAGGTAGTTATAATTCGTTAATTTAATTGTATGTTTTAATAAACCTTGTTTGGCATTCATACTCGAAGATATGAAAGTTGTTGTAGGTCAATACGAGTTGAAATGAAGTAAAGAAAAAATATCCCAAAAAAAGCACAAAATATGGGGATAATTATAATAATTATAATGATTTAGGGAATATATTTAGGGTGTACTTTATATAAGTGAAAAAGCCCTAATATGGTCCCTAATCATCAAAACAAGCTAAAGAGACAAAGAAAATAGTTTGAAGTCAGAGAAAAAATCATCCCCAAAAAATTAAGTCCCAAGTTTTGCGAGTTGTGACTGATTTATTTATTGACCAATTTCATTCTATCTTCACATAGTTAAGGAAACATGCATTCTCCAGGATGTAAAAGTTACAGCAAAATCAAATAATAAACAAAGAAGGAAAAAATAAAAATCTTGACAAAAAAATTCCCCTTAAAAACATATTTTTGGGCCATTGATGAAAGTAACATACATTAACATTGGACAATGTATTTATATGATATATAACAAAATAGAGCATATTAACATAGTTATTCATTATTATTTGTTATTATGTATTACTCAGCAATGATATAAAGGCACCAATTGCATATCCACTTTGTGGACACTTCTTACTGCTATTCTTCTTTGGGCGTCGGACAGGTGCTTGCATCTCTTTATTACTGCATAATCCTTCAGTTCCAGTTATTAGGAGCTGTTCTCCTTATCAACAAAACGTTCTTTTTTTAAAAGATTTGTCTAAATTCAATTTCTGAAAATATTTTGATAAATTTCACGACACTGAAGCCAATAAGTTGGAGATTTAACTTTTGAAGTTATTTTTATACAATTCAAATATTTTTCACTACCAGGCCCCCAACATGTGCGATAATATGCACAGTCTAAGGGTTAAGGCTTAACCTATCATTTTTTACTATTTCTCTAGAAATGAAAGTGATAAGGCAATACGAAATAGAAAGGTAGTAAGTAAAGCAAAAGTGGAGTGTGTTGATAATGCAGTGTAGGAGTGGTACAAACAGAGGCGTGAGGTAACGAAGAAGCCAGTGGCAGGCTGGCTGCTTGTGAAAAAAGCATGTGAATTTCACCAAGAAATGAATATTCCTCAGAAGTGTGTATACTGTACAGTGATGGCTGGGTCAGAAGCTTAAAACCCACCATGGCATTAGGTTCATTTGGGTACATGGTGAAAGCAATCTGCTGATACTGTTGGTGCTGACGAGTATTCAAGTAAATTTGCAGAGATGGTACAGGAACAAAATTTATCTCCAGAGTAAATTTAAATGCTGACGAGACAGGTTTGTACAGGCGTATGTTTCTCACAGACACGATGGCTCATAGTGGTGAAGGACGATCCTTCAGGTGGTTATAACCAGAACAGAGAATTTCTTTGTGCTGTGCAAATGCAGTTGTCTCACACACAAATTGAAATTACTTGTGACTGGATTTAGCAAAAACCCCTGGGTTTTAAAGTCAGCTAGGTGCCCTCTGTGATTTATAAGAACCAGTCAAGCGCGTGGATGTCTCGAGTAATATTTGCCGAGTGGTTTAATAAGAACTTTGTACCCGAGGTGAAAGAGCACCTGAAAAGTGTTGGCTTCCCACAAAACAGCAAAGTTGTACTGCTGCTAGATAATAGTTCACCGCCCTGAGGTGATGAGCTAGTAAATAACAATATCATTGGAATGTCACCACCCAATACAACTTCATTGATCCAGCCCATGGATCAAGGGATAATGTAAGAACCTTAAACACCAAGGATGTTTGCCAGACGTCTTAATAATCAGCCTGGAACAATTAATGACTTGTAAAGTCTGCTATCTGGACTATTGCTAGTGCATGGGACGAGGTAAAGCAAACAACACTGAGAAATGGTTGGAAAAAATTTGGCCCCACGTCAAGTGGGGCCCGAAACGTTATGTGTATTAGTGGCTTTAGGTATTGTATGTACTAGCTCTATATATAGATCTAACATTATATTTGTAAATCAACTATGTATGTACTTTTCCTGAATAAAAATTTATTATTATTATTATTGTTATTATTATTATTATTATTATTATTATTATTATTATTATTATTATTATTATTATTATAAGATTATAAGTCTGTTTCCTGAGGAAGATGACTAGGCAAATTTTGAAGGATTTGCGGCGAAGAAAGTTAAGAGTGAGGAAAAAATTAAGAGAGCAACTCCTAGCCTATGTCAGGGGGATGAAGTCCCCAGAACTGAGAGCAGAACTGGTGACTAAAACAATAGAAGATGACATAGATAGGTGGGTAGATTTTGATGAAGCCCCAACCATTCAAAACATAACTGATGATGAAATTATAGAATTATGTACATCAAAAAAGCCAGAAGAGTACAGTGAAGAAGGTTGCAAAGAGGAGGATAAAGAAGGGTTAAAGGAAAAATGTAATATGGAACAAAATCAGAAATATTTTGAAGGTATTCTGGCCTTTATGGAAACGAGTAACAGTGAGTTTGAAACTAAGGACATGATGAGCCAGTACAATTTGTATATGAAGTTTTTGAAAACAAGATCAAAGGTAATGAAACTAATGTCAATTATAGTCTTGTAAAGGCTTCCAAGAAAGCTTGGAAGCTTTTACAGGTGCAGGTGGAAGCATTGCCTCACCTGCACCTGACTCATTACATGTTGATCCAAATGCTTCAACATCTGAGGTTACCTTATCACCATTATTCTCCACTTGAGTCAACCCAACTCCACCAACATCCATTACCACCACTTCCATGTAAATAACTGCTTCATCAACAATGATCAACATAACAAGTGGATCAGGACTTCTCTTATTAGCGAGTACAAACAAAATACTGTCGCATTTATGCTATGAACATGTAAATTTTTTGCCCAAGATTTACAGTATTTGTTTACGAACTTTCACAGTAACCGACGGATCTCGTCCCCAAGTGGGTCGCAAAGCACGTGGTTGTCTGTACTAAAATGAACGGCTAGGGCACTCCAACTAATTTAAACACAAATGAATAACCTACTTATCCTTATCGAAACTTAACTTAATAGGGCCATTCCTGCCGAGATCACCAGCCCATGTCTTCACACCGCCGCTCCCAGAATACAATTACCTCAGACCCGCACGCTCTGCTTGCATGCGGCCTGCATTCAAACGAATGTGTTTGAGCTGCTAGGCCTAGTAATTTCTTTACTAGGCTGTTTCTCCTAAACTATCCTTCATTTACTTAGAAACTGTTAAGCAAAATCAAGCTGATCATTACTGGGACAACATCTAAGTAAATGTATCGGTACTAATTAATTACATAGTATCTAACATAGGTCTCCACACAGGTCTGGGGTGGTAGGCCTAGCTTTATATTATCTGCTGCCACATGCACAAAGACTTGAGTGTAACATTACTGCTAAACAAGACTACTGACTGAAATATGCCCTCACAGGTGATAAGTATATGTATAACAGCTTACATAAGATAAGCTTCTAATTGGAAATACAGGTACTGACATACACAAGAATTACAGTAACTGACATGAAGTGAGCTGGCAACAGACTGCATGATTGCCACATGGTGAGAGTGATTCTCTCTTCCCCTCAGCAACTGGGAATCCACTACTGTATAACCAAACAATAAATAGGATGTTAAACATACCTCATTCCTCCACACGTTTAACTGGACGACTCCAGAGCTCTGCAACACATCTCTGGGTCAAGGAAACAGGAAATAACATACCCATTCACCTCATTCAAATGACAAGGTTGGTATCCCTAATCTTACAACATACGGTCAAGCCAGTGAGACCTCCAGAAATACCGGCTGCCCCCTACTTTCTCGCACGTGCCGGCTCATAACCTCTCACAATACTGTACCAAGAAACAAAAAAACAATTATACCTAATACCTTAACCATAGTCTCCATTCCATTAACAGACTTCAATGCAAGGCACAATCTATCATCTTTATTCAATCTTAATGGTTAATATACCATAATACTTATACATAAACATTAGGAGTCTGTTATTCATCAATTAGATATAACTGGATTGTAACAGCTCTCATCATATTTAGCCCTGTGGCTGCTTTCATTATACTCACTCAAGATTGTGCTTTCTCCTTTAGAGGATCATGGATGATAACACAACTGCCTCCCATCGCTCGGTCTCACTGATGGTTTGGAGTAACAATCCCACTTTATCCTTTACATGTTCCACTGAACAATTTGTTCGGACTATGCTGGAATTTATTACAGCAAGGGTCCTGTGAAATTGGAGGGAAGAATCTGTGGGCAAATTTGGACCATTATTTAATGCAAACGGTATCAGAGTTTTTAGGATGCAGAGTACTATATTGAATAATCCCTTTCTTCCCCTAAAAAAGCCAAGATTGTTTGCACCAAATTTCTGGCAAAAATTGGCATGGTTTAGCAAAATTTGAACTATATGAGTAGTGTTGTATTGTGTGCAGAGGTATTTACCGAGTGTTTTAGATGCATTCTTTAGGTAAATTGTATTGGCATCATTTAAATGTATGAAATTTTATAATGCAAATATATAAAGTACACTGAATATACAGTACATTAGCAGTAGACATTCATTGAAGAAATTATATTATCATATACATTAGTTGAATAATTTTCATTATGTAGAGGTATTTACAGGACACATTGTACTAAGATTAGGTATTCAATGAGAAAATTATATTGTTGTGTATATTAATGCAGTCTTTTATCTCTTTCAGCTTGCTCTATAATTGATGTAGTTTATTCACATGACATCCCTCAAATCAGTGGTGCAATAGATGGTCTGAGAAAGATGGTAAGTTACACAAATGAACTTGGAGAGATGATGGGTTTCACCAATGATTCAGGAGAGATAGTAGGTTATGCCGATGATCTGGGAGAGATTGAAGGTTACTGTGAAGATCTGGATTATCTGGAAGAAATGGTAGGTTGCATTAAAGGTCTGGAGGAGAGAGTAGTTTGTGCCGAGGGTCCACGAAAGACATTAGGTTATGCCAATGATCCATGGGAGACAGTAGGTTATGTCACACATCCATAGGAGATAGTAGGTTACCCCAGTGATCTGGGAGAGACAGTAGATTATGGCTGGAGAGAACAAGGTGCCATCGGCTCCATGATGGTCTGGATGTTCTGGTACTTGTTCCTAGTGTGACTGCCTTCTTACCTGCAGTTCCAGCTTTGTAGGTTCTGCTAAAGTTGCTTGTCCCCCTTCTTCGGGAGATGGTGGCAACATTTTACTTCGCTCACCTCGTATGTCAGTAGGCTGTACATGCCAAGTTCTTAGATTTGGCCCGGTTCTTTCGTCTGCCTTTCCCATTTTTGTTTCTCCACTTCCCTGAGGAGGCTGCTTTGGCTGCGATTTCTGCTCTCGTCCTCTCAGACCTATTGTTCTGTAAAGGTTTCTGTCCCTTCTGCTCCAATGGTTTGGCTGGATTGGGGCCTCGCCTAGTGTGGTTGGGGTAGGCCTCTGGAGTGTTGATTTCCAGGTCCTTGCGCTTCCTTCAGCTGGCCTAGCTCTGCTTGACATCACAATTATGTGCCGCAAAAGGGTGTGTCTGCTCATGGGTCTTTACGTTAACTCTCCTGCCGTTTGCCCCTTTGACAGCGCAAAGGGGAAATGTCTGGCCTGTCTTGACAGTTCCTAGTCAACTGACACTGGTTTACCAAGCTGTTTCACAGGGTCTTTGGTGAAGTTGTTCACCCTCCTCCTCCCCTCTGTTAGGTTACACCCCCTTAAACTGTGCAGGTACTGTATTCCAATGCATTCTCTTTCATGTGCAAGAAAAATATTATTCTGAGAATTTTTTTCTGCTATCAGAACTATAATAAACTCTTCAGACAACACACAGCCCCTCTGATAAGTCTGTTAACATGCTAAACATATTGACTCCACACATTCTCGTGTGCTATCTACATGTATAAAACCTTGTTCCTAAATGTTAATCTTGATTTGAAACTTTTCCTTGAATGGTGTAATAGAACCTATGAACACTACACCAGAAATAAATATCCGTTTGATATTCCCAGAGTCAAACTAAATCTTTGTAAACACTCCATGCAAACAAAAGGGCCCAGTCTTTGGAATTCACTCCGTGATGAATTAAAAATATGGTCCAACCCATACCCTGTTCAAATGTAAAATCAAAAAGTTTTTAGTTTCATCCTCATAGTTTCCTATCTTGTGCTTCAGACTCACACTGTATCTTGTACTACCCACTTCCCCAATATTAGTACTTAAGACATATATCTCTACCAGTGTAATCACCTGTCAATTTATATTGTACTGTAGTTATTTGTTGATATAAAACCTTGCTACAATGTACCTTTTCATCTTGTCTGATGTGTTAGACTAAGGACTTGCCTGAAATGCTATGCGTGTTAGTGGCTTTGCAAGAATGTAAAAATATCACTACTGTAATTTTACCAACCCATTGTATCTTTTTGTAAATAAAATATTTATTATTATTATTATTATTATTATTATTATTATTATTATTATTATTATGTATTATTAAGTTTTGCATAACCTTGACCCATATGATAAAGGCTTTTACATCCCCCCCCCCCTCCTGTGATGAAACCCCTTTTCCTTTAACACTTTTCTTTGCATTTACACTTCATTGTCCAATTCACAAATGGGTCCAAGTCTGCTGACGATGTTGGATGTGCCATAGTTCTTCCTGGCCAAACCTATATGTACTGCCTACCTCTGAAGACTAGCATCTTCATGGCTGAATCGTTTGCAATTTTGAATTCTTTTCATTAATTGCTTTTCCGATGTAAACATTCCTTTGTTATTGTGGTTAACTTGTGCAGTGCTCTCATGGATGTAAAGGGCATCATTTAGCCCTTCACATCCTGTGGTGATAAAAATCCAATATTGGCTGTTTCTGAACTAAAGAAGTTTGAAGACAGTTTAGTTTTGCTGGGTTCCCAGCCATATAGTTTTGTTAGTTAGTATGGTTCCACTGAGCTGTACAGTGGAACCTTGGGATACGAACATCCCTCTTTACGAATTTTTCAGGCTACAAATGCAATTTTGTTGGAAAATTTGAATCTGGTTACGACCTTTGCCTTGCCTTGTGACTTTGTTGATACACTTATGGGTCAACCGAGCTTGTGGTTCCTGGTGGCACGGGCGAGGTTTAGTTTTTACCAGTTAGTTTACCAGTCTCTCCCGCCTAGTGACGATCGTGCTTGGATTCTTTGTAAAGAATTTCATTGTTTTCTGCTTTTTTGGTTTTGAACATAATAGTAATTATTATATATCACATCATGGGTTCCAAGAAAGTCAGTGGTAAAGTTCAACCTAAGAAAATAGTTGAGTAGAGGCAGTAGAGGATGTCCCTTCTTCATTAAAAAAATGTATGCAGTATGGGAAGAACTGCAAAGTTTTGTTGAAAAAACTCGCCCAGATAAAGGTGTAGCAGGCCATTACATTAACTTTTTAATGACAATGTGATGCCTCACTATAGACTAAGTGGTTAAAATGTAGGGAAAATCAAGTGTCTTTAGACAGATTCTTAGTAAGACAAGCAAGCAGTGAGCCATAACCAGGTCCTAGCGGTATGCCTGCAAAACATAGGAGAGAGTACCCCAGAGAGGTCATCACTGCCTGATGTTATAATGTAAGGGGACTCCCCTTCCAAACACTAATCACCTCTCCTCCTCACCCCGTCCTCACTGTCTTCCATACGCCAACAAGAGTCATCAATAAAGGTAAGCAATAACTTATACATACTATAGTACAAAATATTTGCATGTATTATGTATGAAATGTATTTAGAAGTAAATATTTTTGAGAGTGTAGAACGGATTAATTCAATTTACATTATTTCTTATTGGAAAATTTATTTCGGGTTGCGAATTTTCAGCTTACGACCTGTCTCTGGGAATGGATTCAGTTTGAAAACCAAGGTACCACTGTACCTTAAATGTGTGCACGGACACTGCCACAAAGGAGGCTATTTGCACTTCTCCGATTTACCATAAAGGCATTCCTTGTTCAGATTTCTTCCCAGTCATTTGTTCCTCAATCGAAGACTGTTGGCAGGGTTATTGGTCTGGTGTTACAGGTAAGAAACTGTGCACTCTTAAACATAGCCTGTTCCCAATTGACTTCATTCTAACACCGTAATTGACAGCTCTGGCTAGGTTATATATTGGCCATACACACTTAACTCATGGGCACTGAATGGAATACCTCCCTGCTTCTTATTGTCCGAACTGCATTGACCCTCTTAAGGTCATGCACCTCCTTGTAGAATGTCCTCTTTTCAGGACATTCATGTGTCTGCTTTCCTAATGTCCCTCAAGGTCATGTGTCCCTCAACAATTGTAATTTGCAATTACAAGCGCTAATGTAATTGTAATAAGCAATTACAAAAAATACTTTTTCTTAGGTCTATTAACCCCATTACATTCATATAGATATACAATAGTCAATATTGGTTATTATATATCTATATTGAAAGTATATCTATATGAAAAGATTGATGTAAAACCTGGCAATAATGAAGAAAATTGGCAATTGATGTTGATGACAGTTAATTGACAGTGTTGATTGTAAATAGGAATTTGAGCAAATCATGCTGGGCCTGAGCTGTTGGAAGGTGAGACTGCTGAAGTTTGTGGAGGGAAGGCAAGTCTTGATCCCGAGCAGGGATCTCGATTCATTCCTTGATGAAAGTGGAGGAATCGGGCACCAACTGATGTGGGACTGGTGTGGGATAGCATTAAGGGCCTCCCCTCCCTCCCCCTCCCTAAGAATATAATGGAGCTTTGAGAACTTACTATCTCAGAATAGTATTATCTTGTATATATGGAATGGACCTCAGGATTTGGCTTCCATGGGTTTGGGGACTTTCTATGCTGTCATCCATTGCCTTCAAACTGTCAAGGCTCCAGAATATCATAGAGATGAAGGCTTCCTTCCTGTTCCTTTCTTGACTAATTAGGTTTTATTCTGCAAATAATAAAATTTAGCTATTGTCGAAGCCAGACTGCAAGATAATAAAAAATCTGTACACAAGTTGTAGGTAAGCTCTGGGCATAATTGTCAAATGTATGATTGTTTCTGTTGGTGCAGACTTAACACTTTCTCAAATTTTCCTTGAAGTGCTAAGTTAGATGCATGTTGTGAAGCTTTGTCTACTAGTAGTCTGGTAAGTAGATGAATATTCAGTAACTTGAAAGGGTTCAAACTTTTAAGATTTCTTATTATGAAAGTACTGTACAACACAATAGCTAAATTATTCATTTGATGAATTAAGTTGTATAATGAAAAAGTATAAAAGATAATTACTAACACGACATAATTTTGCAGAGAGATGCTTCAGAATTTGCTGCTAGGTCGTACCAGTTGGAGTTGTTGCAACATGCCAAGAAACAGAATTGCATTCTTGTTCTTGGTACAGGATCTGGCAAGACTTTCATATCTATTCTTCTTATTAAGGAACTTGCTGAGCAGGTAAGATTCTGGCCTAGTTGAAGAAAACCTTTATACACAGTATATCTTGCTTGTTTTAACCATTAACTAGCGATACGTGTGGCAGGCGGTAATGGTAGGATGCATGATGAGCACTTTATTAATTGCTGATTAGTCCTTTAAATGCTCCCGTGGCCCTCAAATGAAAGGGGCTGATGCACCGGTCACCTGGGAGAGACTATGTGCCCTATAAGGTTCTGTGTGGACATTATTTAACACCAGAGACTTCTGGCAATCATTTACCATATTAAAAAAAAATGAAATCTTAACTTCCTTCCAGGGTTTAAACAAAAATATATTCAGATGCATCACCATCCATTGATGGTGGATGGGCTAGGAACTGGCTTTTCATGGTTTCAGTGGTTCCTAGTTCCATTCCTAGCTTCAATGTTAGGAACCATTGAAGCCATGCAAAGTTTCAAGGACTTGTCTGTACCTGAAAGATAGGGAGAAATTTTTTATAAATAATTAATTTAAAAATTATTTGCCTAAATGTATCAAACATTTCTTTATTACTACCAAACTGAATTATTATAATTTTTTTTGTATTTTTCTCAACATCAGAAAGCAGAGTTTTATGGTCTTGTTCACCTGTTTCCCAAATGTTTCTTCAAGGCACAGTTTTTGGTCTCTCTTGTCTCCAGTTGTCAGGTGGGTGAGTTTCATGAACTCCTTGAGCACTGGGGCTTTTGTTTGCTTACACCTGACAACTTTTCTGGTGAAGAATGAGTCTGTTGGGTTCCAATGGGGTACCTTGGTCATTGATGCTTGGTTGGTTTGGTCGGGAGTGCATCAAGTATTGTCTGGTAGCAGCTCTCTCCCGCTACCTTTGTGCCACCTTTCCTGCGTTGGTGGATTTTTGTGGGTTGATCGTGTCGCCTTGGTTTCCTGATATAAGGGTCTCCTTTCTCAGGTTCTCTGCAGTGTCATTAAGTCTAGCCATCCTGTGGTTTACCCTCGCACCCATGAAGTTTGGAAATATGTCTCTTTCAGCTGTCTTCGCGAATAGGTCTTGGGCTGATTTTCAGGCGCGTATGTTTTGGAGGTTGAACAGGGTTCTGGTGGTCCAGTATGTTGTCAGTGTGCCCTGTCCTTGGCACCTTTGTGTGGTTTTGGGTTATGTGTCACAGCCAAGAGTCTCAACTTCATCTTGATACCTGCAGTACTCCCTCCTCCCTGTTAAGTGCCACTTAGTTCCTTCTCTGTGGTGGTTAGCTTCAGGGAGCCATATGGGGCTTTTCCCAGGAAACTGGCTTTGAGGAGTAATAAAACCACTATTTCTGGATGAGCCCCCAGTGGCTTCCTGACATAGCCCCTCTTTCCAAGTCTTTGGGGGTGTTTGCACCATCAGGGAACTGAGGGTGGAAGAACCGACTAACAGCAGGCTGCCTCGCTCCTTTCCCCAAACTAGTGAGGGAAATGGGGCGTGCAAGCTGAAGCTAGTTTCATGAATTTTCTATAGGTTGTTTATAGAGTTTGGGTAGTTCTTTCTGCTGTTCTCTAGGCTGCAGTGTCATTTGGAGCCCACAGTGGTTTGTTTTTTTTCACTAACTTTTTGGGTGCCTTTCCCGGTGGGTGGCATAAATGAATAACTTAATTAAACATAGCATATGCTCCTTGCACAATTTCCTTTGTGTTTCCCTGGTGACAGTCTACTATCCAGGACCACACCTAGATCTCTCTCTTTGTTAGTTTTTTTAAGCCCTTTCCAAATAATTTGTTGGTTATGTATGGTCTATTTTCTCCTATTCCACATTCTATAACATGGCATTTATTCACACTGAATTCCATTTGCTACATGGTGCTCCAAGCACTTATTTTTATTTAGATCCATTTGAAGGGCATTAAAATCATCTAGGTTTCCTATCTTCCCTACTACTACTTCCTATCATCCCCTACTACTACTACTACAGCATCAGCAAACGTGTTCATTTAATTCTGTATTCCTTCTGGTAGATCATATATGTAGACGATGAACATTTCTGGTGCAAGAACTGAACCCTGTGGTACTCTACTAGTTAGCACTCCTCCAATCAGATACAGTACTCTAATTATTGCCCTCGTCTTTGTCAGTTAGAAAATTTTTCATTCATATCGGCAGTCTCCCATTCAACCCTTCTGCATGTTCCAGTCCAAAACAGCCTCTTGTGTGGGAGTCTGTCAAAAGCCTTTTTCAGGTCCAGATAGACACAGTCAACCCAACCATCTCTTTCCTGTAGAATATCTGTGGCTCAATCATAAAAACTAAATAGATTTGCTACACAGGATCTTCCTGTTCTAAAACACTACTGTCTATTATTGTCATTACTGTCAGGTGTTCTACCCATTTGGTTTTAACTATTTTTTCTTGTGTTCTGAGTACCATGCTTGTTAATGATACTGGTCAGTAATTCAGAGGGTCTTCTCTACCACTGTACTGTTTTTGTAGATTGGAACTATGTTTGCTTTTTTCCGTAACTGCCAAGTTTCCTGTGGACAAAGATGTTTGGAATATAAATTGAAATAGAATGCTCAGCTCAATTGCACATTCTGCTTACGGTCTCTGGCCCCTTGCAATTTCTGTTGAACCACTCCTGTTTCCTAGTTCTGCATCTGTTTTAGTATAAATTTTGTTATGCTCTTTATCATATATTTTACAAAATGTGTAATTACCCAAGTGTAGTTACAGGATGAGAGCTACACTCGGGGTGTCCCATCTTTCCAGTACTGTCATATAACACTTTGAAACTACTGACGGTTTTGGCCTTCTCCATCTTCTCACTTAATTTGTTCCAACCATTTACCACTCTGCAAAAGTGAATTTTATTATATTTCTTCGGCAGCTTTGTTTGGTCAGCTAAAATCTCTGACATCTTGTTCTTGAAGTTTCAGGTCTTAGGAATTCTTCCCTATCAATTTTGTTGATTCCCATTACTATTTTGTCTGGAGTGATCATAACATTTCTTTTTTCTACTATCTTGAAGATATGGCATATTTAATGCCTCTAACCTCTCCTTGTAAGGGGGGGGAGGGGGAGGAGGCACTCGCATTGAGCTTTGGCTCTTTGGTCCCGACTCTCAACTGTCAATCAACAAGTGGACAGATTCCTGGGCCTATTGGGCTCTAAGATATCTACACTTGAAACTGTGTATGGTGTCTGTCATCACATCGTCAATTCCTAGTGCATTCCATGCGTTAACTACTCTGACACTAAAAAGAGTTCTTACCAATGCCCCCTGTTGCTCATTTGGGTACTCAGTTTCCACCTGTGCTCCCTTGTGCATGTATCCCCTGTGTTAAATAAACTGTCTTTATCTACCCCTGTCAATTACTGTGAGAATCTTGTATGTGGTGATCCCTAACTCTTCTCTCTTCCAGCAACGTGAGGTTTAGTTCCTGTAGTCTCTCCTCATAGCCCATATCCCTCAGCTTGGGTACTGGTCTGGTGGCATACCTTTGAACCTTCTCCAGTTTGGTTTTGTGCTTGACTAGATAAGGACTCCATGTTGGAGCTGCATACTCCAGGATTGGTCTGGTATATGTGGTTATACAAGGTTCTGAATGATTCCTTACACAATTTTCTAAAGGCTGTTCTTATGTTTGCCAACCTGGCATTTGCCACTGATCATTTTGATGTAGGCTTCAGGGGACAGGTCTGGCATGATATCAACTCCCAGGTCTTTCTCATTCCAATTCTTGAAGAATTTTATCTCCCAAATGATACCTTGTATCTGGCCTCATGTTCCCTACACCTATCTTCATTACTTTACATTTGCTCAGGTTAAACTGTAACAACCATTTGTTGGACCATTCCTTTAGTTTGTCCAAGTCATCTTGTAGCCTCTTGCTGTCCTCCTCTGTCTTAATCCAATTCATATTTTTGGTATTGTCAGCAAACATTGAGAGGAATGAGTATTATACTCTGGAAAATTATTTACTTATTTCAGAAACAGGATAGGTTCGAGTATAGAACCCTGTGGGACTCCACTGGTGACTTTATGCCATTCATGTGGAAGTGGGGAGAGGGGGGTGGGGGGCAGAATTGCGTGTGTTGATGGGAGGGAATTGGGAGGGGCCCAGGTGTGCCCGATAAACAGCCCAGCCAGCCAGTCTGTGGAAGCCCTAGTTCTGATATCTTGTACAGTGTTTAATGTCAGTGAGACACAAACTTTTAATACATTTCTTAGTACTACATTGCCAGAAAATCTTGGCCACCTTTCATTACTTAAATATTTTCTTTCATGATTTGTTTAATACCCATAATTTTTTGCTAATACCACATCTAGTAGCAGCAGCAATTGACATGGAGGTACTAAGAAGAAATAAGTTAACTTGTTTTTAATGAAGTGAGAGTGATTGAACTTTGTGAAGATGGCCGTCCATTTTTTTATTTTCCTGGTAAGAAATTCTGCTAATTCGGATGTCCAGCCCACTAATATGGGGGTTGGGGGTCCCATATGATCCAAATACCCGAGCATAGACAGTATAATACACACTCAGCTGAGTATGTGAATTTCATCCAGTGACAGTGACATGACAATAGGCAATAATTGTTGCTCTTTACTTTTGACCTTTCAAGATAAAGCTAATTTAAAGGACCTTTAAAGGACCTTTAAACTCATCCTTGATGTTTACTTTTAATGCACTTTCTTAATTTGAAGACAACCCCAGAATTGTTGGGAAATGTTGCAGGTTTGTGAGTGACACATAATACATCTTCCACCAGCTATGGACCTTATGCTGATACACTTAATGTTACACTTAACTAATTGGGCTGTGACAAAGTGGTGGTATAGATAACAAAATAATGCCATAATCTACAAGACTATAAGAGATACAAGACTAAATACGACAAGATACAATTACAAGACTATTTGCAAGACAGAGAGCCGTGTCTGAACATCGGGGGTCCATGGCTCTTCAATTCCCTCCCAGCAAGCATTTTGAAATATTGCCAGAACAAAGGTAGATATCTTCAAGAAACATTTAAATAAGCTTTTACAAGAAGGGCTGGACCAACCAGGTTGTAGTGGATATGTGGGCCTGCAGGCCACTCCAAGCAACAGCTTGTTGGACTAAGTTATCACAAGTAGAGCATGGCCCCAGGCAGGGCTTAAGGAGTAAAAGAATTCTGAAACCCCCTTCAGATATGCTGCTGAAATAAATTTAAATACTGTACAGTATACTGTACAGTACTTCTATTTGGAAACTTATTTGAAAATCAAGCATCTCCTTTTATATGGGTATTTAAAATAAACTTTTTAATCCCTAGATTCGTGGACCGTTGATTAAGGGCAACAAGCGTACAGTATTTGTTGTGAACACTGTTCCTCTGGTCCATCAGCAAGCATTTGCAATAGAAAATCACACAGGACTAAGTGTTGGCAAATATGAAGGCTCGACAGGTGTGGATTATTGGACTGATGCTTCGGTGAGTAATGGCTGTAATGCATTCCTTTTTGTTTAGGTACAGTAGAATACTGTAATCTTCATATCATACAAGACCATTGTGTTTAGGGTAAATGTATTAACAACAGATTGAATTAAGAAAGAAAGCAATGGTAAATCCAACTTAATCTTCTAGAAGAAACCCGAAAAGTGAAAACATTCCATTGTATGTGTGGATATACAGTACATACTTTGTGTACTATACAATAAAATATAATTTATACTCTTATTTCAGATAAAGTTAATATTGCAATGCTAGCTCAATTAAAGCATAGCTGATTTTGTTTTACTCAAAAAGTAATCCTTAATCTACAAAACACAAGAAAATAAGAAGCACTGAAAACATTGCATTACTCATCACAGTTGTACTATTGTATACAATTTACAATACAATATAATTTTTAATCCTTTTTTCAAATAAAATTACATTACAATAGTAGTTCACTTAAAACAAAAATAGTTTTTTTTTTATACTGAAAAGGCAATCCACTTGCATAATAATTTTAGTTATCTGAATTTTTTTTTATTATTATTAAATGTTAGAATCGTCTTAAGAATCAGAAATCATAATAAAGATACCGATTCTGATTGCTTAAAAATGCTCGATTTTTCCAATTCTTGATACTGATTCTGATTAACCCTTAACACTTTTGCGTGCCTGAAGGGCGACCCCCTGCACACCACAGGGTAGGCCAAGCATTGGCTGTTAGCGCACAAACCACACTTAAATGTTTATACTCTTTTTCAGCTTTCTTGCCTTAATTTTTGAGCTACGTCATTTATTTTGGTATCAAATTGTTTGCAATATCATGGCGCACATTTTAAAACCAGTCCCATAATATTCGGATAATAAATGGAATTTTTAAAAATTTATTAATTGATTAATCGTCATTGAGTCAGGGCCTCGTGTGTGTTTTGTTTTTTTGACGTTGCGACCGTCATCAGGACGCGAGAGTGTTTAAATGCGCAATACATACGTGTATGTATGTATGGACTTGGATATCAGTTTCTTAAACTTGCTCAAATGCTTTCAAATTTGTTGTGCATAATCTACTGGCAAATGCTCCAACTTTGTCTAAATGATCACCAATATAACTTGAAAAACAAGAAAATAAAAAATAATTCTAAAATTGAATATTGAAAACTTCAGATTTTGAAATTGGCTGCAAAAATATAAAATATCGCCAATTGTTCATTTGGTGTTATGCTCTCAGAATAGCAAATGATCTTCATATGATAGCATTCACAATCTTCATTTTCATAGATTTAGAATATAGGTTTTCAGTATAATTTACTGTAAAAAAAAAAAAAATTGGCAATATAGCATTTGAAATATGCACCAAATCTAGACAAAAAAATTTATTCTCCAAATGTTTAGGGTTTATGAAAAATCCATTCTTTTGGGATTGTAGAACAGACAGCTGTGCACACTATATGTAAAAATGATGAGAAGCGGTCAGAAAATTGATTTTTTGGGGGGAGCCCCTTTGGCTCCCTGGAGCTATCCAGGCTGATATGGATATATGAGACTTTGGCATCAGTCAATGTGAATGGAGTTCTAGGCCTACCGGGGACCACATGCCAGAACCTGGCCCCTGTCAGATGAGGCACGAGAAGCAATTGTCTATAGAAACCTCCTCATGTGCTTGGAACCATTCTAAGTCTGCCATCGACCAAGTCAGGCACCCAGAAAGGTAAGCGTTCCAAAACAAACATCCTATTCTGGTTAAGAAATTGCTACTGAAAGCCGAACTAGTGGACAGAACTCCCCAAATGAAAATGAGCAAACCATGATGACATGGTGATTGAAGTCACCATGTCACCGTGCCGCTGTCTGTGCAGCTTCCCCCTCCCAGGGTGGGGAAAGAGGGTGCCCCGGACCCTCATGCTGGCTATCTACACCCCAGTTCTGTGGCTGATGCGAGACTGGCAAGGTCGTGCAACTCTGGCTCCAGATTTCTGTCCTGTACCTTGTGGTGTGTGCTGTGCTTGGTGGTGCACAAACCAGGAGTATATTCACCAGTACTCAGGCTGCATGTGCCTAGGGTCACCTTCCCTAAGTGTTCCAGTTAGTACTGCCCTTGGGGCTTGCGGCCATCTTCAACAAGTCACCTTTGGGGGCTACCTCCGCAAGGCCTTTTGCCGCTCAGCGATTGACCGCCCTTGGAGTCAGTTGGGGTGTTTCCTTCACCCCTGTTTGCATCTTGGTAGGGGGTAGTTTTCGTCAATGTTTGGGGCGCAGAGTACTGTGCAGCTAGTTGTAACCTCTCATAGCGGCCGGCTCTGTTCTGCCTGGGTACGTTGTCCTCTTGCGGAGGTTTTCTTGTTTTTGTTTTCCTGCCTGGTGGGGGGTTTGCCTCTTGGTTTTGGTCTCTCCCTATAGTATCTTGGTGGTCCCCCTGCTAGGCCCCCGTGAGTGTACACCTCTGGGGGGGAGGCAACTATAACAGTTTTGTTGGTAACTTTGGGTGCCGGTTAGCAGTACCCTGCCTGAGCTACTGGTAAGTGTCACAGTAAGCGGGACACTTACTGGGTTATCTTGAGGTTATCTTGAGATGATTTCGGGGCTTTAGTGTCCCCGCGGCCCGGTCCTCGACTAGGCCTTCACCCCCCAGGAAGCAGCCCGTGACAGCTAACTAACACCCAGGTACCTATTTTACTGCTAGGTAACAGGGGCATAGGGTGAAAGAAACTCTGCTCATTGTTTCGTGCCGGCGCCCAGGATCGAACCCGGGACCACAGGATCACAAGTCCACTGTGCTGTCTGCTCGGCCGACCGGCTCCCCCTGGGACGTCCATTGTCGTCCTAGTACTACTAGGATGACATTATCATCCCAGTAGTATGATTAAATGCTTCCCTTAGTGTGATTTCTGTCCAAGGACCCTGGGAAACCCTGCATGGGGTCAGATGGATGTGACTCCTGGGTCCCTCTCTATCCCCTTGTTTGAGTCGGAGGGTTGCTTGGTCCCCTTGTCTCCGGGTGACCTTCACCGTTTGCCTCCGTCATGCTGCCTGCTGGGTCTGTGACACCTTCAACCAGGAGTCCTGCGAGTTTTATTGCTTGTTTGTGACTCGACAGCTCAGGCATTGCATGCTCGTTTTAGGTTGGTTGCTGACCTGGAAACTCCGAGGCTGCCCTGTTTTTGTTATAAGGACCCAAACTTGGGGGGGGGGTGTTAGTCGCTTTGACTTTGGTTCATTCTTCCCCTCCTTGTCCTTCCCCTTCGGTGGTTCCTAGTTCTGCATCTCTGTTTTAGTATAAATTTTGTTGTGCCTTTTATCATATATTTTACTTGATAAAAGTACAGTAAAGTGATTTAGTTCCCTGTCCCTTCGGGTCCGTCAGTCCCGTCCTTTCAGAGGTTTTCAGCTTCCCGCTTCCCGGCTCATGAAGTGTGGGACGTCCTTGCGGCTTACCTTCTGCATGACTCGGATTATGCCTCTTTAATGAATCTTTCTTCCTTCAGGTTTGGGCTTTCGTTTCCTTACTGGGTACGTTATGAGGTTCCGGAGTCGTCCTAGCTTGTGGACTGGCCTGTTTTTTCGTTGGGGGCTTGGCATTCGTTCTGTTGGTCCCACACGTTTGAGTGGTGAGAAGCTCTGATGGTCGTCCAGGTTTACCTGAGAGGTGAGCTTGAGCACCTCAATGAGTGCTTGTTTGCTCCTGCCCTACCCACGGGATGTTGGCATCATGCAGGTCATCTCGGAGTGGGTTCACCTGGGGCGTGGTCGAAACGACCTCATTCCTCAGGTGAGTTTCCTGCCTGTTTCTGGTTCTGAAACGGGACTGTGCAGACCCGCAGTTTATTCTGGACTTGTCCTGTCTGAACCCGTGGGTTTATTGCCCCTTCTTTCAGATGACTACTGTCCCAGATTCGTCTTCTTTTGGAGCTGGGCACTTGGATGGTGTTTCTGGACCTCTGGGACACATATTGGCATGTCCTGATTCATCCAGGGTTCAGGGACTAGCTCGGTTTTGTTGTGGGGAGTCACGGTTACCGTTTTTATTGCCGTCCATTCGGCTTGAATCTGGATCCTCGCGTTTTCATACGCCTTGCCTGGGTCATGGTGGTCCGTCTGCATCTATTGGGGGTTCGGGTTCTGGCCTACCTCAATGATTAGCTAGTGTGGGCTCTTAGCCAGTCTGCTTCTCTGCTCATCAGGGATTTGGTTCTTTCCCAGCTCGCTGGGCTCAGGTTCCTGGTGAAGTGAAGGTAATCCCATCTGGTTCCCTCTCGGGTTCGGTCTTGGCTGGGATTCTCGGACAAGGGACTCTCCCTTGTCTCTCCCTCCGGAATCAATGCTTCAGCTACAGTCCCGCCTCCACATGTTTCTGGAGGGCGCCCGGGTCACATGGCGGTTCCTTAAGGGTTTGCGCAAGATCCTGAACTTTGCTGTGATGGTCTACCTGCCGGGTCGGGTTTGGCTTCATCGGCTGTTCTAGTTCCTTCTGGGACGTCCCTTCTGCCTCTCTCACAATCACTGGGTTTGTCCTCCGGGTGCCTTGTGTCGGCTGCTGCATTGCCGGCTTCCCATTTCAGGGTTTTTGGGGTTCAGTGCTTTGGCGCCTACCCGAGCCCTCATTCGATGTGTTCATGGACGCGTCGTCTCGTGGCTGTGGCTTTGTGACCAGTACTCGCCAGGCTGGTCAAGGGCGGTGGGGTCCGTCCTTCCGTCGGGCCCACAGCACGGTGCAGGAGTTTGTGGCAGTGTGGATGTCGCTTCGGAGGGTTCAGATCGCTCGCCGATCGACGATCCAGCTCCATTCGGACTGTTCCCGGTGGTTCATTGCCTGAACCTAGGGGGTTCGATACGGTCCTTGGCTCTTTGAGGCTGGATGCTTTGAGTGATTCGTTTGCTGAGTTCTCGGGGTTTGGCTCTCCTGGTCATTCACGTTCAGGGGGCGTCCAACGTTCTGGCGGACAGCCTGTCTCGGTTCATTTCCCTGTCCACGGAATGGACGGTCGACGCCGACTCATTCAGTTGGCTCTGCCAGACGTATAGGCTCCTAGAGGCGGATCTCTTCACATCGGCGTAGTCGAGGCGTCTCCCGTTGTATGTGGCGCCCTTCCCTGACTGCGAGGCCATCGGGGTCAATGCCTTCAGGCAGGACAGGTCGAAGTGGGGTTTCCTGTACCTCCCCTTCCTAGTTTGGCTGTTCCTCCAGGTCCTAACTCTTTGGAGACTTACCAAGGAATGGTAGTCCTCTTGACTCCTTGATGGCCGGCTCAGCCTTGGTTTCAGGCTCTGCTTGCTTGGTGTCCGAACCCGAGGGTCTTCCTGCGGCTCTACCTCTTTCAGCAGATGGGTCCAGTCCATTACGTGGCTAGTTCGATCGTCTCCTCGAGTCTTCGCTTCTGGTTTTTCTGACTCGAGTCTATCACCATTTGTATGGTGAGCAGGTGGTTTCGTTGATAGTGTCCCACTTGCGTGCTTCGTCTCGACGGCAGTATGAAGTTTTCTGGCAGTCCTGTTATTTCCTATCCCTTCATAGGTTTACTTCTGTCTCTAATAAGGTTGTTTATCCTTCCTTTCGTGGTTGTTCCAGAACCGTCATCTTATGCCGAATACAGTCACCTCGTATCGTGCGGCGCTGGCAGAGCCACTGCAGCTTGCGTTCAGCATTGATGTTACTTTTGCTCTGTTCCGCAAGCTGTCTCATGCGTCGTTTCACATCCGGCCTGCTCATGCGCCGCCTGAGCCATCCTGATCTTTGGACCGGGTGTTCTCTTTTCTCTCTTCACCTCGCCTTATGGTGGCCCCTTCGGTTCAGGATTATTTTGCCAAGGCTCATTTCTTGTTGGCTTTGGCCTCTGGGGTTCGGGTTGGGAAGATTCATGTTCTCCTCCAGCTCAGGGGTTTCTGCTCTTTTGGTCTTGGTGATAGGTTTGTTCGTTTGCAGCCATCTTGAGGTTATCTTGAGATGATTTCGGGGCTTTTTAGTGTCCCCGCGGCCTGGTCCTCGACCAGGCCTCCACCCCCAGGAAGCAGCCCGTGACAGCTGACTAACACCCAGGTACCTATTTTACTGCTAGGTAACAGGGGGCATAGGGTGAAAGAAACTCTGCCCAATGTTTCTCGCCGGCACCTGGGATCGAACCCAGGACCACAGGATCACAAGTCCAGCGTGCTGTCCGCTCGGCCGACCGGCTCCCTCACCGGCCATCACCGTCTTTTCTGGCGAAGAACGAAACTACTGCTTACCGGAGGGGTCTTTAGGTCATTGTTGCTTGGTTGGTTGGGCTGGGGGTGCATCATGTGTTGTTTGGTTGCGGCCCTGCTGATACCTGCACGCCATGGCCTCGGTGGCCGGGGACACGCTTTGGATTGACCTGGTTTCCCTTCTTCCCTGTTCCAGTGTTCGGGTCCCTCAAGTCGTCTGCAGGGTTATTCGGTCCAGGCAGCCTGCGGTCTATCCTCGTGCCCACGACGTTTGTGAGTTTGCTGCTTTGGCTGCCGTCTTTGGTAACATGTCTTGGGCTGACATTCGGGCACGGGGTTTTTGGAGGTCGAACAGGGTCCTGCTGATCGCTACCTTGTCAGTGTTCGTGTGGTTAGTTGGGCCTTTGTTGCGTTGAGTCAGCAGTTGCAGCCAGTTGTCTCGACTTAGAGTTGAGGAGTGAGTGCCGACTGCCTCCTGGGTAAGTCCTTCTGGTTTTGTCTTTTACTAAGTAGCTCCGGGGAGCCAAAGGGGCTTCCCCCAGAAAACCAGCGTTGAATGTATTGAAACTCCATTTTCTGGGTGAGACCGGAGGCTCCCGGGAGCCGGTCGGACAGCACGCTGGACTTGTGATCCTGTGGTCCTGGGTTCGATCCCAGGCGCAGGCGAGAAACATTGGGCAGAGTTTCTTTCACCCCATGCCCCTGTTACCAAGCAGTAAAACAGGTACCTGGGTGTTAGTCAGCTGTCACGGGCTACTTCCTGGGGGTGGAGGCCTGGTCGAGGACCGGGCTGCGGGGACACTAAAAAGCCCCGAAATCATCTCAAGATAACCTTAAGATAACCTCCCCGACAACCCTTCCCTCCCTCCGGTCGGCAGTGTTTCGTGTATTTTTTTATATCCAAACTGAGAACTGGAGTGTGGATAGCTGGCACGGGTGTCTGGGGCTCCCCCTTACAACTCCCATCGAGGGAGGAGCTGCACAGACAGCGGCGCGGTGAAGTGGTAACGTCATGCTTGTTTTTATTTGAGGAGTTCTGTCCACTAGTTTGGCTTTCAGTAGCAACATTTTAACCAGAATAGGGGTTTGTTTTAGGGCGCTTACCTTTCTGGGTGCCTAACCTGGTCAATCGCAGACATAGGATACTTCCAACCACACGGGGGTTTCTATAGGCCATTGCTCCTCGCGCCTCTGAGGAGGCCACGTCTTGGCTCTTGGTCCCTGGTAGGCCTTAAACTCCATGCGCATTGACTGATGCCAGGGTGTAATGCATTCATATCAGCCCGGTTAGCTCTGGGATGCCTCTGGGTTTCACCCAGAAAATGGTGTTTCATTACATTCAACGCTGGTTTTTTATTTTTTGCTATAATTTGTTTTTCTTTTACAGTGGTTGGAGGAGCTGGCAAAGAAGGAAGTTTTGGTGGTTATTGCTCAGATCTTTCTTGATCTTATTCTTCATGCCAGGTTGCCACTGTCATCAGTAAATCTGCTTATTATGGATGAATGTCATCATGCCACAGGGAAGCACCCTATGCGAGAAATTATGAGGCAGTACGAGACTCTAAAGAAAATAAATCCACAGGAATGTCCTAGAATTCTTGGGCTTACAGCTTGTGTCATTCATCGAAAATGCAAAAAAAAAAATGTGTTGGGCATGATGAAGGAACTGGAAGCCACAATGGATTGTGCATTAGTGACAACTACAAATCAAGCAGAAGTTAATAAGTACAGTACTAGCCCCAAGGAAAAAATTATTTGTTATGAATCTGATGAAAGTTCCGAGTACAAAGATATAATCTTTGCGCAGTTGCAAGGAATTATAGAAGATGTAAAGGAACTAGTTGATATAGAAGTTAGATATAGAAAATTGGTGAACAAGAAAATAGAGAATATCAAGTACATTATGTGTACCCTTGGCGATTGGTGTGTGGCTCGGGCAATCAAGTATGAGATGAACCATTTTGATGATATTGAAAAAATGGATGATGTACCAGCAGTTCGGGATTTGATGAGTTTACTGAGCAGGAGGTTGGAACAAATATATAATTTTTGTATTAAAGCGGAATCTGCCATGAACCCTCTTAGTCATGTTACCAAGAAGGTAAAAAAGCTATTCTCAATATTTCGTGCATGTAACAGAGAGGTATATGGATTGATCTTTGTTGAGAGGAGAAACACTGCCAAGATCCTGTATGATTTACTGTTGGAAGCTGCTAAAATGTCTAATGATCTTGCCTTTGTAAAGCCGTTGTATGTTGTTGGTTCAAATACCCGCTTGGGTGCTGACATTCGTTTGGCTCAATTAGAACTTTCCAAGCAGAAGGAAAGCTTAAGCAAGTTTCGTAATGGGAGTTGCAATTTCATAGTGTCAACTAGTGTCTTGGAGGAAGGTGTGGATATTAGAAAGTGTAATGTAGTTATACGCTTCGACAAGCCAGTGAATTATCGGGCATATATACAGTCGAAGGGGAGAGCACGTGCACATCCATCAAGGTATTTACTCATGGTGGAGGAGAAAGAACTGAAAGACTTGCTGGAGACATTAGAAGTGTATAGAGAAATAGATATATCCTTGTCAAAATTCTGCCGAAATCGTCAATTACCTACAGATGAGAAGACAAGTCGTATATTTTCTCTAGATGAACATATTGTTCCTTATGAGCCATACGGACCAAGTGGACCCAAAGTCACTTTAAATTCTGCTATGCCACTTATTAATGTGTATTGTGGTACTCTTCCTCAGGATAAGTTTACAGTATTGACACCAGAAGTTAGTTACAAATACACAGATGATGGATTTGTGGCAGAGATACAGCTTCCAATTAATTCATGCCTGAAGTCTAAAATATCTGGGGATTGTATGGAGAACAAAGACCTTGCCAAAAAAAGTGCTGCACTGTATCTTTGTAAAATGTTGCATGCAATGGGAGAATTGGATGAGTTTTTACGGCCAACAGAGGTATTAGATGATAGTATACTAGATGGTCTGGTGGAAGTTCCACTTGAAGGAGTAAAGGAGGGGGAACCTGAGCCTGGTACAAAGAAGCGACGTCAAGTCTATGATAAGGAGGTGTGCGAGGCATTTACCCATTTCCATGAAGGAAACTACAAGTTGTATTCAATTATCATTCAGCCAAAGGGCACACCCCATACTAACTTAGTAATTGATTCCTCCAAGAGTGATGTAACGATGGGATTGATTTGTAAAAAAGAATTGATTCGTTGTCCATTCCCACTCTACTTTTCTAAATGGGGGGAAGTGGAAGTCAAGGTGAAATTTGTAAAGGAACTTGTAGAACAAAGTTCTGAGCTGATGAGTAAAATTGAACATTTCCATAAGCTAGTTTTTGAGACACTATTGCACATCAATACCTCACTATTTGTCTTTGATTCTAAAAGCTCAGGAGTATTTATTGTGCCAATAGGAAAAACTGGCACAATTGACTTAGATGTTCTAAATCAGATATTCCCATTGACATCTCTAAGATTGCCCAATATGTTTAGAACACAAACAGGAAGTTTCCAGTTTGAGAGATCTACTTTTGAGGATGCTGTAATTTACCCAGTGTATATACAAAACACTGACCTGTTCTATGTTACTAAAATATTTAATGATATAAATCCACAAATTGCATTTCCTGACCCAAAGCAATCATATGCTTCTTATGAACAATATGTGTTAAAAAAATTTGGTAAGAGGACCACCAATCTTCAACAGCCTTTAATAGCTGCAAAGCACCTACCAAGAGAACTCAACTACTTGAAAAAGCTGCCAGACACTTGTAAGAAGAGTGATCAGAAGACTGGACGTGAACCTGCCAGGTACATTCCTGAACATTGTGTCGTACTGCCTCTGAAAGCCTCTCTCTGGTGGCAGATCATGTGTATCCCGTCAATTCTTCATCGTCTGAATAGTTTAAACTTGGCCCATCAACTGAATGTTACCATGAATGCCCCAAATTATCATACACAGGATTCAGAGTATCCAGAAATAAATTTTAATTGGACTGAAGAAATAATTGCAAGAATAAGAGACCATGAACAAAATTTGTCTGCATTACTAGTGAAAAGGAAGAGTGACTATATCCATCCATTTGTAATTGTTCAAGCTCTCACACTTTGTGCCGCTCATGACAATATGGATCTGGAAAGATTGGAAGTTCTTGGAGATACTTTCCTCAAATTCATCACTGCAGAATATTTATATTTAAAAGAGACTGAGCATCATGAAGGAAGACTCTCTCTGCGCCGTGGCAAGCTGGTTTGTAACAGGACTCTGTATTCCCTGGCAAAGAGCAGAAAAATACCACAGAAGATCCAGTCAATCAATTTGACACCTCCAGCAAATGGTTTCCTGCCAGGTTTTTTGGTCAAACCTGAAGTTAATAAGATTTTGAGAACCTTGAACCTTTCCCATGATGCATGGTCTAGTCTTCCTGATTTTGGTCTGGATAACCTGCAAAAGGTATGTTTTTCTTAGAATTTTATTGTGTAGTTTCTTTATTTTTTCTGCCGTTTGACTGTTTCTAGTGGCCTTGACAGGTACAGGGAGCCTGTGTCACATTGAAGGTCCCCCTGTAATTGCTAGAGATTTTTTTCCAGCTATATTTTGAGCTGAAGCATTGTCTTGATAATAGATTCAATGTTTAGCTAATTCCATGGGTTAATTTTAATTACCTTAATAATGAAAAAGTGTCTCTTGTCAGTTGTACATTGTGGCATGTTGATATTGAAGTTACTGTCTCATGTGTTTATGTATATTGGACATTTTTAATGTTGTTTCTCTGGGGAAGCCCCTGTTAGATTCCTGAAGCACTCTCCTAGATAACTTCTCATATCGAGTCAAATTAGTTATAGGATTTCTGTTGGCTCACCGAGATGAGACCTTAGAACCTGCTTCTTTCCTTCCCCCCCCCCCTCCCCCCACCATCCCCCACCCCCCCCCCCCCCCCCCCATCACCCCCAGAGGCAGAGATATCTAGGGATTCATTACAATCACCCACACCGAGAATGCATTGAGAAAGTAAGTGAAGCAATATGATTATCTGTAAGGGTTGCCTAAATGAAGCTCCAGAACACCCAACTGACTACATATTTTTCACTTAAATCCCAAGGTTTCACTCAAAACAAAACTTAGAACTCCTTAGTGTACAAAGCCATAAACAGATGATGTCCTGGACCCAGATTCACGTAGCAGTTATGCAAGTACGTACTTACAAACATGTACATCTTTCCTCAATCTTTGACAGCTTTGGTTACATTTATTAAACAGTTTACAAGCATGAAAACTTCCCAATCAGCTGCTATTGTTATTGTTATAAACAGCCTCCTGATGCTTCGGAGTTCATTAACTATTTAATAATTGTAAACAAAGTCGCCAAAGATTGAAAAAAGGTGTACAGGTTCGTAAGTGAGTGCGTTCGTGAATCTGGCCCCTGAGAGCTCCGACTTGCAGTCAGCTATGGGACAGTCCCGATTTTGATGTCAGATTGCTCTGACCTTAATGAGTTGCCCAAAGCTGCAGCGAGTCCCACATTTAAGAAATAAGTACAAGCTATCCTTTGGACTTTCTTCTGTGGGGGCAGTTTTCCTTTGTATCTTTGCTGTTCTTTAGTGCTTGCCTTGCAAGCATTTGTTTACCAGCAGCACTTATGATGTGGACTTGGTCTAAACTGTGTTTAGAGTAACCCTTCACTAGGTGTTCATCTGGCATTGCCCCTGCACTGATAGACTGGCTTCTCTGGTGGGTTTGGGAGTTTAAGCCAGTGGCCTGGCCACTCAGGGATGAAGAGCCCCGCTTAGGGTTGTGGGCATTTCATCGACTCCTCTGCGAAACCCTGTGGTTGGGGCATTCTGTTCTTTTTGTGGGATGTGGTGGGGTACATGTACCTGTTCATACAGCATGCCGCAGACACCATAGACGAGTTTATCCTACAGGCTGCATTGATTATTGATTATTTTGATGCCCATCCATAGTGCCTCGGTGTCCTGCTTGGTTAATTGCCTTCAGGCCAGGGTAAGCTCCCTGTGGATCTGCAGCATTGCTTTAACTGGATAAGTTTAGATTTCGGAAAGACCTGGGTAAATACTGGTTCGGTAACAGATTTGTTGATTTGTGAAACCAATTGCCACATGGCATGGTTGAGGTGGGGTCCCTTGATTGTTTCAGGGTGGGTTGGACATGTATATGAGTGGGATTGGGTGGTTATAAATGGGAGCTGCCTCGTATGAGGCCATTAGGCCTTCTGCAGTTACCCTTATTCTTATGTTCTTATGATTGTATCATGCTGAGTAAGGTGTTGGTGCGTAGGCGTTGATGAGGTTGACCATTCCTGCTGCTTTGTAAAGCTGAAGTTTGAGAGTCCTTGCTGACCCCTCCATAGGTGATACTATGGACCCTAAAAACCTGTTCCTGACAGCGAAGCCAACTTCATGCTCTCTTATCTCTTTTGGTGGTCAGGCAACCGCTGGTTTGTGAGCTCGTTTCTCGCACGTTTGTGGTGTTTTCAATTGGGTGCCTTGAAGTTCTTCCCTGGGATGTTTAGGAACTTGGATTTTGAGGGGATTGTATATTCCACTTGGTTTAAATTTGCCCCCCCATCATTTCCTTGCTGGTGTGGTTTGTCTGACTGGAAACTGTTGAGCCATTTCTTCCTGCCAAAGATACAAAGCCTTCATCTTCACAACAATTATCTTGCTCTGAACCTTCTCCATAGGGACAATGCCTTTCTATCTCATGCATTGGGCATGAAATGTGACTGCTCCATGGTCTCCTCCACAGATCCCCAGGGCTGTGGAAGAATCTGAGAAGGGTCCCTGCCCTGCAAACACACACTGTAATGGTCCCAATTGTTACCTTATTACAACTTATTACAAAGCTGTTACATCGTGTTATACAGTTTTTGTGTTAGAAAGTTGTTAAACTTGCTAGATACTTGTTACAATTTGCTAGATATGTGTTACAACTTGCTAGATACGTGTTACAACTTGCTAGATACTTGTTACAACTTGTTAGAAGATGTTACAAGTTGTTCGAACATTGTTGCAACGTTGTAGTTTCATCGTGTGTTTGGCAGGTGGGTGCCTTTTAACGGCTCTAGAACTTTTGATTCCATCTGATGATGGGTTTTGCTCCAGGGGGAAGACTTCCCTAATCCTCTAATATGTGTGAGCTCAATTACTCAGCTGCTTTCCCTCTAGGTGCACTTTGGTGTGCCATACAGTTTTGCAGAACTGTTTTATTATAAGGTTTTTGTTGTCCCGCCTTTCACTTTCCTCAGTACAGGTGGACATTTTTCAGTTCCTCTTGTGGGATCAGTGCCTTGCTTTCCTTATGGACCTACCTACCTTTGAGTTCTGGTCTGCTTCTGCCTTTTGGCTTGGTATGAGGTCCCCAATTCATCCTGGCTGGTTGATAATCCTTTACTTTTCTTGGGTGCTTGGCAAGGTTTCTGTCGAATCCAAATGCTTGCATGGCAGGAACTGAGTTTTGCCTTTTAGGTGTTCTTGGGTAGTGCTTCTTTTCTGCTGATTGATGATTGAACTGCTTGTTTACTCCAGTGTTTCCCAAGGACATGGGCAAGTGGCAACCCCATGTTCAGCCGCCTGTGTTCTTAAGAGCCCTTACCGCAGAGGGTCATAGAGCTTTTACCCAATTAGCGGTCATTTTGCACATCTGAACTGTTGAGCTGTTCTTGAATTGGTTCTGTGATGGCCTGAATGTTCTGGCATCTGTCCCCCTTGTGACTTCCTTGCTGCCTGTGGTTTTAGCTTCAGTGGTTCTGCCCAAATTGCTCACCTTTGTCCTTTAGGGGTTGTGGCAGCTTTTTGCTTAGCCTGTCTTGCATGTCATCAGGCTGTGCTGGCCCAGTCTTTTATTTCAACCTGTTCTTTAACCCATGTACTGTGCATTAATATAATATGACAACCCCGTGGTGTGTGTAAAAAATTATTCGTGCCCAAATTTTTTTCTTTTATTGTTTAAATGCATTCCCTGATTATGGGAAACAAAAAAATACTGTATGTGACATACTTTGGCCATAATGGGGGAAGAAAGTCTGGCAATACAGTATACAGGTGTTAACACTTTCGCGCTCCGTAGAAACTCGCGGTTGACTGGGGGATCGTGGCCCCTCCGTGCGGGTAAGCGCGCGGTGACACCCAAATGTGTATACTCATTCCAGTTTTCTCACCTTAATTCTCGCGCTACGTCGCTCGTTTTGGTATCATTGTGTTCGCAATTAAATTCTCTACAGCTGTGTATAAATATAATGTCCAAAAGCCTAGCGTGACTCCCAACAGCAAAGCGTAAAGTCGGCAAAAACGCACAAAATCAGTAACATGTGCATTCTCCTTCCATTTTTTTACCTTAATTCTCGTGCTACGTCGCTCGTTTTGGTATCATTGTGTTCGCAATTAAATTCCCTACAGATGTGTAAGAATAAAATGTACAAAAGGCTGGAGTGCCTCCCCGCAGAAAAGCCTAAAGTTACCCGTGAACGAGCACCATTTTGTACATTGCAACCTAATGTTCAACTCGTTCAATTTGATAACATCAAATTTCGTGCTAGGTCGCTCATTTTGGTATCAAATTGTTCGCAATAAAAAGGCGAGTATTTTAAAACTAGTCCCAGAATAATAGAACAATAACTGGATTTTTAACAAATATTTTAATTCTGGACGCTCATCATCACAAATTTATTTATATCTTTCCAGTGTTCTGACATAAATATTTGTGTTACATCTTTCATTTTGGTATCAAATTGTTCGCAATAAAACGGCGCGCATTTTAAAACTAGTCCCAAGATAATAGGACAATAAATAGAATTTTAACAATTATTTTAATATTCGGACCATAGGCCTATTTATAATATTTCAAGTGTTTGGACATCAAGTTTCATGTTATATCTTTGATTTTGGTATCAAATTGTGTGCAATCTAAAGGCGCTTATTTTAAAACCACTACAAGATTGATCTGATAAAATTTAAATTTTTAAAAATATTTTAATGATATAAATCCAGAAATAAATTTTAAGTGACTGAAGAAATAATTGCTAAAAGAGACTGAGCATCATGAAGGAAGACTCTCTCTGCGCCGTGGCAAGCTGGTTTGTCAGGACTCTGTATTCCCTGGCAAAGGAACACATTCAGTAGAAAAATAAATGACGAGATAATCAGTCTGTGGAACCTCAAACACTCAAAACAAAACTTAGAACTCCTTAGTGTACAAAGCCAGAAACAGATGATGTCCTGGACCCAGATTCACGTAGCAGTTACGCAAGTACGTACTTACAAACATGTACATCTTTCCTCAATCTTTGACAGCTTTGGTTACATTTATTAAACAGTTTACAAGCATGAAAACTTCCCAATCAGCTGCTATTGTTATTGTTATAAACAGCCTCCTGATGCTTCGGAGTTCATTAACTATTTAATAATTGTAAACAAAGTCGCCAAAGATTGAAA